CACACACACACACACACACACACACACACACACACACACACACACACACACACACACACACACAATAAATGGCTGATGAAAAGTTTGAAGGAGCGTTTGATACCAGATCAAACTGTTACTCTTAACTATGACTATAATGTAATTATTATTCCCTTTAAAGCTTCCAACATCAATCCTTACTATTTTGGCTTTTTTATTTATTTATTTATTTATTTGTAAAACAGACAGGAAATAATTTTTGTTTCACAATCTTTTATTCTACTCTGTGACATAAAGGCATGCTGATAAACTGCGTTTCACAAGAAATGAAGACTTGTTCCAGTGAGCTGAAAGAATAAATTTATCTACATCTGTGTTTTTCTCTCAGTTTGCCGTCCATCTGGGCATTGCCAGAGGCTCCAGTGTTGTCATTTTGGAGCAAACAGGGAAGAACAGTGGATACAGAGACACAGATGTGTGTGGCGTCTGTCCCACAGGTCACCGCTGTATCGAAGGCGGCCCAGAGAAACTGGACTCTGTTGTTAATATGAAGACTGTCTCCAAACACTTTCAGTACAAAGACATGGATGTGATTTATTCAAGGGACGCTGGCAGGTAGGCATTCCTTTCTGCATTTTCAATAACTGAGCTTAAATAGTAGGTGATGGCTTCTTTCTTCCTTTCAGATACTTGTGTGATTTTGCATATTACTGCTCATTATATCACAGTCAGCGGAGAGCAGCTTTGATCCACATCCCTGCTTCAGGCAGCCTGGCCTCAGCTGACAGACTGGTCCCATTTTTGCAGGCAGTCATTGTGAAAATGCTGCAACAGCTGGAGGACCTCAAATCGACATGAAGAGCAAGTGTGTCACGCCACGTCAGCACACATAAAATATGAAACATAAAAATAAAAATATTAACTCAGTCTTTGTTCTCATTGAATTATTTATTCAAAATTTCAGAAAAAAAGTAAAATACAAGAAATTTTCATACACATTTAGAGACGGCATTTAAAAAAAATACACCATCTCAGCTATAGAAGTGATAAAACAACTTTGAGGCTTCAGATACACAGACATCTTGGAAAAAAGAAGACAGTCTAGTGAAAATTTTTTGATTTTTTTTTTCTTCCCCAAATCAACTTATCGACACAAGATTTCGCGAAAGCGTTATAATAGATAATAGTAGTTGTAGACCAAGGCCCCTTAAAGGTGTAGGAATGCAAATTATACAAAACAGACATGAATGATAAACCTCAAACCTATTATTGCAGAGGAATGCGTGAATGCATCCTCCATAAACCTGACGTTTGTCTGAAGAACATTCTGACGAGTTCAAAAAGATGAATATGACCTAAGACCTGTTGAAAATCTAATTTCAATGTAAAAAAAAAAGATTCCAGTGTAAATTTGTTTTGCTAATCTCTCTCTTTTTTTTTTTTTAACTTTTAATGAATACCCGTAATCTATGTGACACCCCTCTCCTGTGTGTCCGTATGAGAAACGCTGCAGTTTCGACAGGTTTGTGATCCAACTGGAAAAGTTCAGCTCACAGATCATTTTTCTACTCAGAAAAGCTCAGTTATGTCACCACTCATTCACACTGGAGAAGCAGAAACACACAGATATGGTTACTTAAACTGATTTACTGTAAAAAAAAAAAAGATTTAAATACAGCAGCATTTGAATGTTTTTGTTTTTAGTCACACACACATGATTAAAAGGAACCGTGGCAGAGCACACAGATTTCACATTATTTGGTGGCTAACTCTAAACTTTTATTGCTTTTGGAGCATTAAATTCAATCCATTAACCAATCGGTTTCATTAATCAATGTGCCAAAACACAGAGTAAAAAAAAATCTAGCTGAGTTTTTCTGAGATGTCAGAGCTACAGGTGATGTTTTTGCTGCTGATGATTTAAGATCCACTGTGGTGACTGAACTGGCAGCAGTTTAGGTACTAAATGTATCAAATACTTCTGAAAGATTTAAAACTAATAAAGTTTACGAAAGTCAGATGAGCGCAAATTGAAAAGAACACTAAGGCATTGAGTGGACAGATTTGGACACGATTAAATGATGACATTCAGAAAACTTTACATGAATGAGCCAAAGAAGAAAACAAAAAGTGGGATATTTCATCGTTTTTACTGAAAAACATGCGAGGAGGTGGTTGATGTGTTTTCTTTTAATGCTTTTGTGTGGAAAGTATTTACAACTTGATGCAAAACGTCATCTCTTGGTTCGGAATAAAATGTGAAATAGAGATATGTCGGCTGCAAATAAAGAGCACCTGTGTGTTTTTATTTTTCTTGGAGGTAAACAAGACATTTCCCTTTTTTGAATATTTCCTGTGTTCTATTAAACTATTTTCTTTAATAAATGCATTTTGGAGAAAGTTAAAGCAACCTTTTTATTTATATTATTTTTGAAGTGGGGTTTTGTGGAAAAGCAACAATTATTTGCTGTAGCAGATTAGCTGCAAGCTAATCTGAGCGAGACGAAGACTAGAATAGACCTTAAAACAACTCCATTCTAAACAAAATGTTACGGGTTTGAATTTGAATTCTGTTTTACAAATCTTGTTTTATAAATCTTTATATCACATTTTTGAAACTGGCGTTTGAACTGTGGTCTTAGCCCAGTTTGAACTAGCCTTTAGCTCATTTGTTGGGTCAAAAATTAAACGATTGCACCAAATCGGGCTCAGTTAAAAAGCTATTAACAGGTAAGATACTGTTTAATACCTTTCCCGGAACCCCACTAAAAAAATAATTGTATTTTGAGGATATGAGGTTATGAATATCAGTTGGACCTCTGTGAAGATGGAACATTTATCACGTGCTTTTGTTCCAGGCGTCTCAGCTGATTAACAGTGGACGTTTGATCCGCTCGTGCTTCCAATTTCTGCCGCAGTACGACAGCGATTTTTCAAAGACGCCGCGCTGACCGATCAGCAGCACGGTCCACTTCGGTTCAAAGTCAAAAAGGTGGAACTGCGTAAAACAAACTAGTCCAGATAGCCAAACATTTCCATTCCATCTTCTGTCCCGGTCTGTTTGATGAGGTTTATCTAGATCCCTGTGGGGTTCGTTCAGATGAGGTTTCTGTTAAAAGATTTAACTGTGAGATGTATTTTTCTTTTCTGTTTTATAGAAGATATTTAAAGAGTGAGGTAGATATACGCCAGAAGGGGGAGGGGGATCAACGTTTGTACTGAAGGGGCATTTATACAGTGATTTACAGTATATTGGTATCTCAAAAAGGAAAGCACTAAATAAATTAACATTCATACAAGGAACAAAAAAAAAGGCTTCAGAAAAATAATAATAATCACCAGGCCACATAGGAAAATCCTTCAAAACTCTAACTATAGAGCCATTTTAAGACCCCTTTTTTTAAATACATGGAAACTTGTTCCCTTACCTGGACTTTAAAACCCATCCTGTATTTGGTTGTTTATTTTTGTCAGAGGCAGCGGTTACAAAGACAATCGACCAGTTAGAAAATCTCACTTTGAAACAAAGCAGAAGGGGTATTCTGCTCGAGAGGTGGGGAGGGGTAAATGCTTAAAAAAAAAACATGTTTGGTAAGTTAAGGCAAACAGAGCAAGCCGGTCAGCCCATTTTTATCTGAGAAGAGGCGGGAAACCGATGGGCAACAGAACCAGACCTGGTCCGACGTAATCGTCTCTTACATTTGGAGCTAATACTGACTTTGAAAGGAGGCACGGGGGCGGGGCAGGGGAGATGGATGCAGGGGGCGGGGCTTACAGGTTGGTTAGAAGAAGGTGTTTTGAAAGCAAAGCCTTGACTTTAACCTGAGATTGATTCGCACCTAGAGGGCAATGCTAGACGCAGTGCTAAACAATGAAAAGTACAAAAAAAGGGTGCAGAAAGTACACGGTCACACAGCGAGCTAAGATGTTCATTTATAATAATAATAATAATAATAATAATAATAATAATAAACATTTACAAAAACAAATACAAAAGGAAACATTTCATAAAAATAAAACTCAAAGAAAAAAAAGTAGTGTTTCTGAAAACCTTTTTGAGAGGAAGTTTTTTAAATTTTCTCTTTTTTGTTTCTTTTTCTAACTTTTTTTTTAAATATACTTAAAGATAATAGAAATGGATTGGTAGGAGATCATAATATTTTAAACCTGAAGGATTGTTTTTATATAACATACAAGAGAGAGCAAAAAGAATAAAATAGCAGCTTTGTTTTTTTCTTTACAGACAAAGGCAAACATATTTAAAAACATAGAAAATAGTTTTTTCTTTTATTTTAAAACGACCAAACCAATGATGTGTGTTTAAAAAAAGATCGATCCTGCAGTCAAAAGTACAAGACCTTTTCTGTGACTGAAACGCAGAGACGCTTTGAACTATTTCTAAAGAGAAACTAAGCTGCTAATCTGATCCGACAGCTTCTCTTTTAAATGTTTCCATCGTGGATTTTTGATTTGACTTTAGACTGAAGAAAAAGCGTTTGAAGAAATCAAAGTAGGGGGAAGAGTTGCTGTAATGCCAGATTGTGAAGTTCAGTTATTTCCAACAAGAAACTTCTGACAAACTAAAAAAAAAAATGCCAGAATAAGGCTGTGATTCACAGTTTGCTGACTTAAAAACCAGTGGAAGAGGGGGAAAAGTTGTTTAAGCTCAGATCTGGGTGGAAAACAAAACGTGTGAATAAGGCCACTCTGTTAATTGTTTGGTATGCAAACTGTCTTACAAGACTGAAGGAAAAGATCAGATTAAAACACAGGACAACAGCTGAGAGCAAAGGACTTTAAATTTGAACTGGACTACTTTCATAAGAAACTACTAATACCTGATTGCCAATATTTATAGTTTAGAGCAGAAGTGTCCAATCCTGGTCCTCAGGGGCTTCTCTGCTCCAACACACCTGATCCAGTGTTTAAATCACCTCTTCAAGTTCTGCAAAGCCTGTTCATTCATTCAAATCAGGTGTGTTGGAGCCGAGAAACCTCTAAAACGTGTCAAACTCAAGTGGGCCAAATGTGGCTCGCTTCAAAGATGTATTGTTTTAAAATAACCGTATGCTGCTTTACAGCCAGCACTGCCCATAGACTACATCTCCCATAATGCATGTCGATTATTTTATTTATAAAATGACTGCATCCCACCACTAGGTGGAGTTACATAGCATTCAAAAGTAGCTGGCAGCTGATGAAATTCGCCATGTAAAATATCCCTTTCACTGCATTTTCACTGGCTACTTTTGCTGCAGCCCAGTTGTACTGGGAAGTGGGAAATTCCCATTTACAAGTTGAAAATATAAACTTCCAGTGGGAATTCCCCATTAGAAAGTTGGAGAGTTCAGAATTCAAGATGGCAGCTACCAGTGGTGGGCAGCACTAATCCAAAAATTAGCTCTGCAATTTCTAAAGCGCTTATGTAAATATTTAGGTCCGCAACCTCAAAAGCGCTTATGCCATAGAAAAACTAATGAAAGCTCATTTTAAAGCGCAAGTTCAATTTGACACTTACTAGCTGGCAATAATTCATATGCACAACACTGCCAATTAGCGGCGTATGAACCTTTTTACAGCTTAATACTGCAACCGCCGATTGCTGGGGATGTGAGTTCCTGAAACAAACCTTTAGCTCCTGGTGTAAAAATAAAAAAGTTGTTGAGGATTGCTAGTTCGGCTGCTTCTTTTTCTTTTGTTTGTTGTAGATTTTTCATTAAAGAAGCATCGATAAAGTAATTTTAAAACCGTTTATTGGAAAACTAAAGCGATGCATTCTGGGTGCATGACAGATTTGATTTGTGTTGGGAAATGAAAGCACGGAGTACAGGAAACTATCTTCCCTTCAAAATAAGAGCTTGGATTTTAAAGTTTTCCATGTAGTTGCTCCAGTTAACCACTAAATGTCTGTCTTCATCTAGCATAACATCTATATATCATTTCTGCATCTCTAACCCCGTTGCTTCAACCAATTACGTCAGCTATTGAGCTCCAGCATTTAAACTTTAAAGGAGCTCCGATTTAGCCTGGCCCTTGCCTTCCTACGCAGTTCCGTTGAATTCTAGTTTCCCTTCACTGCTCCGTCTGGGATTTCTCCCATTAACAAGGATTTCGCTGGCAGATTTTTAGCCGAACCAATCAGAGAACAGAACGTCAATTTTCTGCGCAGTGTCGCTTCTCTGGGGGTTCCCGGGGTCTGGGGCTGGGCGCTGGGGTGTGACCTCTGTGCCCTTTCCTGGATCTGCTCTGGTATGGCGGGTGCCGGTGGGGCCCATGAGTTTGTCGCTGCTGGCCCCGGGAGCTGTGCGTGTGGTCACTGGGGGGACTCTCCCAGTTCTCCGCTATGGTCTGATCTGGGGGGTGAGTGGGCAGATCTTCCCGTGCAGGTGCCCCTTGGGGCTCTGCGCTCGGGATCCCTTTCGGGCCCTTGGGCTCTGGTCTTCCCTATGTCTGCCTCGTGTCTTGGGGGTTGGGTCTTTGGTCCTCCACAGTCACTATTAAATATTCCATTGGAGAAATCTTGTATATACACACATGTTCACAACTGCTCACAAACAGGTGTTCTGATCCGGGGGGTTCTGACAGGTCACTGAGTGTGTATATATGTCTGTGTGTATGTACTGACAATATTTATGAATGTAGGCATGTATGTATGTATATCTTTATATAAGTATGGGTATGTGTATATTTATATATGCCCTCCATGTATTTATCCATTTATTTTTCAGGTGAGCGKACAGATGTTGGGTGTGTGGTCCTGTGTTTTGTTGGTGTATATTTAATATACTTCTAATCACTATTTCAATCTTTCTAATTACTTCTCTCTCTGTTTTTCTCTCTTTCTCTATTTTCTCTTCACTCTAAAAAATAAAAAAGTCACTGATGATGAAGAAATAAATAAACTAATAATATTTAGTTTCGTTTTCTACTGAAGTGACAAAAAAATTGCTTCTCTATGCAGCAAGTCCAGACCCTTGTACGAAGCAAAGTGAAGAACAGGGTCTGGTTTTTTACTAGTCAATTGTACACAAACGTTTCATTATTTATAAAAGATTGGTTTAAGATGCTGTTTCTACGCAGGAAATACCACGCAGAGCTCAGTTATTGTTTGTTAGCGGTGCTCAGCCGTAGCAATGAGATGAAGAACGTGATGTTTCCTATTTAGTTCAAAGTTAAATAGGGAACAAACTTGGCTACAGCTGTCTCATCGAGGGAAACCACGATCATCATGTGGTCCTCGATGAAAATGAGTTTGACACCACTGCTTTAAAACAAGCAGGACGGTGGCCCTCAAGCAATGAGCTACATAGACTAGAGCAGGGGTGTCAAACTCCAGTCCTCGAGGGCCGCTATCCTGCATGTTTTAGAGGTTTTCCAGCTCCAACACACCTGATTCAGTGATTGAATTAACTCTTCAAATTGGGCAGAAGCCTGTTAATTACCCAGCGATCAAAATCTGGTGTGTTGGAGCAAGAAAACCTCTAAAACATGCAGGATAGCGGCCCTCGAGGACAGGAGTTTGACACCCCTGGACTAGAGGCATCACATACACGTCAGAAGCTTAAACACTGGTATTAGCTCGACACCATATAGGAAGGGGCAGGTAGTCAATGTAAACAATTTACCAGGGCTAGATTTCTGCAACGAATTGCAGTTAGTTCATTTCATATGTACTGACAAGCATTTCTATCAAATCTAAATAAAGGCGGGTCAGTAGCAAACTGCGTTTCATTGTTGTGGTGACCTAAATTTAACTTCGCGGTTATTACGTTCAGCTTCACCAGCTAACACTTCTGTCTGTTGAGTTGTCCTCGCCCCGAACAACATGGCTGCTCTCTGAAACCATAAAAAGTCACGAGATAGCGTGATAGAAGTCAATACACCAGGACCAGGATTAGACTCGTTTTAGCAGTTTCTCTGCTCCAACACACCTGATTTGAATGAAAGGGTGATTATCAGGCTTCTGCAGAACTTGACGAGGAAATCCACACGTTGACTCAGGTGTGTTGGAGAAGAAAAAAAAGAAGAAAATAAAAGTAGGACATTGGCCTTCAGTTTGTATTCTTATCTTAGCATTACGTCAATAATCTGAGCAAAACTTGGACCAATATTGTGCTGTTAAAAACACATTTAGCTAAATTTCTTTCTTCACATTTTAAATTTACATCTGTTTGTTTCAGCTCTGGCTTTTCTTCCTAAGAATTTAGTGTTCTCACTCCTCAGAATTAGTTTCAGACACGGAGCAATCAGGTCGTCTGTACTGGCTTCTGAAGCAGTTCCTATTTGAGTAAAAAATTGAGGAAATAAAAAAAATGTGGTTGTTAGTGCACATAAAAAAATGTTCTCAACTGTGAATCAAAGCCTTTAAAAAATAAATAAATAAAAGGGGGCGGACCCCTGCATGAGATTGAAAGAAAAGATTAATTTGGCTAAAAAATTTGGCAGATCAACCAAGGCCGTCTGATTTTACCCACACCTGACAGGATCACATTAAAATATTCATATCTGAAATGTAACAATGATCATAGTTCAAACCTTTTTAACTGAGGCAAACCTCACACAACGCGAGCCAGTCGACTCGTTAAAACAATGAAGTCAGTTTAGAAATGGAGCCATACCGTTTTGTGGAGTGGAGGATGTGATTTTCCATAAATACACACAAATATCCATCACATCCTCTCTGAAATCCTCAGGACAAAAAAAAGTGCTCTTTTGTTGGTTTTTGCTGGCAGATATGTTTTTTAAAAAAGAAAGTCTACTCTTGAAGTTTATATTGCCCTAAGTTTATATTTGAAATGCAGGTTGCACAGGAAGGAATCCCCCAGTGTTTCTGAGCCACCAAACTCCAAATGCCTCAGCAGGTTTCTGTGCTGTTTGACAGTTTTTACAGTTTGTAGTTTCTGGTCGTCTTCACTCCCTAAAAAAGGAGCAGAGAGACCCGTCTACTGGCACACAGTAGAACAAAGTCATTTCCATACCTCATCCATTCCTCCTTAGGAGACCGAGAGAGGTTGTAGTTACCCTGTAGCGAGGAGGAAAAAAAAATACTAACAGAAGGGCTGGACTGATATCAGCAGGCCGACGACTGGGGCAGCGGTAACGCCCGTTCGTTCTTCCTGCCCCCGTTCATGTGTGCGTACGGCTGCAGCTCATCAAAGTTGGGCCGTAGGACCACCACGGGCCCGTTGGGCGACGCGTGTCCTGAGTGCTTGTTCGAGCCTTGTCCCGAAGACGTCCCAGGCGGGGACGACGGGGAAACGGGTCCTAGCAATGGAGTACTTGGGCCTTGCGCAGGCGATAGCTGCTGGGCGGGCGGGGGCGACGCGCCCCCCGAGCACCCAGACGGGTGAGCGGCAGCAGCAGACGGCTGCCTCGTGGAAACAGAGTCCAGTGGAATGTTCTCCATGTTCTCGACCTCCATGTCGAGCTCCTCCGTGTCCGGGGGCTTGTTCTCCTCGCTGAAGAAGAAACTGACGTCCCTGAAGTGGGGGTCCAGGTCCTCTTTGATGCTGCTGATGATCTCCAAGAAGGACGGGCGCATCTTCGGGTTGTACTGCCAACACATCCGCATCAGTTCAAACCTGAAAGTGGCACAAAAACACAGACATCTTAGAGTGGATTTGGAACTCACTCCCTTCCCAACACCAAGTCAGGTTCCTCGTATGTAAAAATACTTCAATAAATCGGATTCTCTCCCTGACTACCTGAGGGCTTCACAATCACTGGTTGAATATAAAAAAATGTTTTCTTTTGTTTTTTGATTTTACTAGTTTTATTATTTACTGTGTGTTTTGTAGCACTAGTGATTTATGGAACATTGGCTGCTTAAAACAGGTGTTAGGGAACTGTTAAACAGCTAACAGTTAACAGTCCAGTCTGTGTGGAGACATGTTTGTTTTCATATTTTTCAGTAAGAAAAGTTCCAGTTTCTGACCAGCAGATGGCAGCATACATACAGGTTTGTGCTCATTTTTGTTGACCTAAACTCAGTTACCTTCTGTGTAATGATTATGAAAGTTAATTTAGTTCAAACAGTATTATGTAGTTGTAATGTTGTGTTTATTTTGAAAGGCTTAATAATTCTTTCGCAATTTTAATTGGTGTTGATGAAAACAAATTAAATTACATTTTTCATTTAATTTAATAACTTTGAAATGATTTGTCAGTTTTGACTTGTGTCTCATGTTAACTTGAAATTTAAATCCAGTAATGCTGAATGAAGATGCGTTCTAAATTTGTTGCGGTGACGTGTTTTGGCACGCTGCCCGTAAAAATTTTACGGGCTATTTTTTTTACGGCGACTTGAAATGATTCGGAATTTTTACGGTTTCGTACCGTGCTACGAATCATCCGGTCAGATCAGTAATGTAGCATGTCCTCAGCAGAGCAGTAAATCACACTCAGGTTACTGTGCCAGACCAGCGACCGAGCTTTGGGAATGTCAAAACAACACCATAAAAGGGGAGAATTATTACATTTTTGTGTGGTGCGGCACCACATGCCGCGACTTCAATTATACACAAACAAGCTAAGAATACTCTCTAAGGCTCACTGACATAAACACCTCAGCCATCTCGGTTCTCCTCCTGTTTTTTCCTCCCGGCTTGTTTTCTTTCCCTTCCTCTCTCCTCTCTTTACTGCTCAGAACCACTCCTGCAGTTCGGTGCCAGCTTTCCTCCACTCAGCACTCGACACAACTACGATACTGATTTTTAAAATTATTTTTGAATTGCAGGAAGTGGCTCAGTGTTGACATACAGATGTGCAGACCAACACAACCCAGGCGTTTAATGAATAAAAATTTTTAAAAAAAATGCAACTTTTGATGCTGTGCTGACACAGTAACCTTTCTGCAGCTACCATCTGTTGCTTTGCACGAGGCTTGTTGATGCAAACACAAAAAACAGGCCAGTAAATCCCAACTCTGTCAACACCCTACCAGTCATAAAACAAATGTTATGATTACTACTGTTAATAACTGGAAATATGCATGTGAAAAGCTCACGGTGGGTAAAAAAACACTTAATCTTCAGCTGACACATAAACCTTTGTGTTAAACTTTAATGAATGCTCTGTACCTCCAGTTTCTTAGTACTTCTGTCTCTTTACCTGATCTGATGGATTTGGAGCAAGAAATTTTATTGCGACGTAACAAAAAACTCCACGTACTTCTGAGCAACAGCTATGGGACTAAACTGCCTAAATTCTGCGATTTCTCCGATTACTTTCCTCTTTCTGTTTCTTCTTCCCGTTGACCTCGTTGTCTTTGTTTAGCTGCGAGCCGGTGTCCGTTCGGGCTGGTTTTAAATTTCAGCCGCAGATCAAATAACACCGTGTCAAGTGATCTGCCGTGACCAATAAAAACGCTGAGTGTTACGAGCAGATATGTGGTAGTGGATTAAAAGGAACGAGTTTCAAATAAAATAAAAAAAACTGCCAAAGTTTCACTGAAGGGGCCAAGAAACAAAACAAAAAACAATCGTAAAATTAGAAACAGACACAGATTGAGGCCAAGTGTGAGTTCAGAGCAGTCTTCCAAACATCTAAATGCCTAATAAACTTAGCAGGATTTCTTGCAGTCTGGCTAAAAGAATCTTAACAGGAGTATGTTGAAACCTGGAACAAGGGGAAACTAAACAAATACCCGCAGCTACTTGAGAAATGTGATGCAAGGAGACATCGACTTTGAGCACCCCTCCACCGTTTTTTAGATGAACTAATAAAAATAATAAATAAATAAATAAAAAGCCGGACTGCTGGAAAGCTCCACTTAAGTCACGGCAGCACAGGCGACCATCGCCCGACTCCTCCGTGTTGCTCAAACAAGCTGAGACCCCCACTCCTCCACCACCTCTGTAACACAATCCACACACTCCTGCAATCAGGACAAAACCGTCAGGCTGCCATAGAAACCAGAGGTTTGTGTCTACACAACACTCGCCCCCCCCCTCCCCCTTTTTTTTGTTCTGCTTGCGCTCTTTCTAAGGTGAGGTCAGCCATGTGGAGTGGGAGGAGAGAGTGCCGAATGCCTTTTTATTGAGGTCAGAGAAGAGAGAGAAAGAGGAGCGCATGTAAGCAGCTCTTTACGTCGACGACCAGACATCTTTCGATAATGGTTTACCAATAAATGACTTCTGCAGCTCATTTTCTTTTACGGACATCACCTCCCTCCCTCCCGTTCGTTCCCACAGGAGGAATGAGAGGCATGTTTCACACACGGGGTCGCGGCATCCCGTCTATGGCTCGACACCGACGAGTGACGAGGCTGCTCGCTGCCAGCTGAGCGCCAGAGCCGTGTCGTCAGCTGACTGCATTTAACCAGTGACGTTAATGTCAGCCTCTCAGCTCAGCTCCGGTTCAGCGGACACACACCTGATATCCCTCACACTTAAAAAAAAAAGTAGCTTCCAAATAGACACATGGCAAATTGATAATGGGGTTGGTGGGAAAGCAGAGCTGCAACGGAACAACCTCTTCCCGTCACAAACGGAGCAGGACTCACAGCATGTCCGGGCAGTTGTCCGGTTTGTCCAGGAGTCCTCCTTCCATGACGAAGCGCAGCACTTGTTCGTTGGACATGCCCTGGTACGGCTGCTCTGCCAAAGTAGCGATCTCCCACAACACGACGCCAAACGACCTGCAGGGAGAGACGGGAAAACACAGCTATTCATCTGCACTTAAGTCTGGCTTTTATTGGAGGAAGATCAAGTCTTCTACGACTCTCACCAAGAGAAAAAGTTTTCTTTTAAGACTCTTCCCACATATGTCTCTAGTTTTGCAGTGTTGCATTGATATAAGACAAAATAATCAGAAGTTTCAACTTACTGAAGAATGGGTACAAAAATAAATTCAAATTTAATATCGAGTCAGAAAATCCTCTTGATCAATTCAATTCCGTGGCCAATATGACGTTTTATGTTTGCACTCCATAGTGAGGTTGTTAATACCCAGCGCTGTGGTGGTTAGTTTTATTTGCAAAGATATGAAGACGTGGCTAAACTTGCATTAAATATAAAAAATGGCATCAGTCTTAATTTGAATAGAAGCAAAAGCAGCTCCTTTAAACATCACAGCTTTAGTTTCTGTATCTGAATAATAAAACTGAGCTGAAAATAACAAAATTAATCTGATACCGATGGAAGGTTTTCTAAATCAGTGTTTCCCAAAGTTGGGGTCGGGACCCAAAGTGGGGTCCCGAAACATCAAGGTGGGGTCCTGAAAAGATCTTCTGAATTAATTACAATTTTGCCTTAGTTGTTACAAAGGAGTGAGGTTAGTGTATTTAAAATGGATAAATGTAGTATAAAAAATATTGTTACTATGCCCATGTTTTGTTGACCT